TATATATATATATATATATATATATATATATATGTGAATAGTAATTAATTCGATATTTTAATAAGCAACAGTTGATTTGAATTTCAAATAGCAGCTGCTAGCTAAGCATAGGTAATTAAATGAAAAATCCAGCTCCTCGCACCGCCTAGCAAAGAGACACAAATTAAGCTTACATAAGTTGTTAGCATAAGACAAAAAAATATTTAGTATACCTGAGTGAGTGAGTTAATCCTGCCAGCCAATTAAGCTCCAAATATTTATTGAAACGTACAGTAAAATTCATCAACACATAACAATTGATGATGCGCAAAATATTTTTTCTTTCTAATCTAATGAAGAAAAAGCGAGACATAATTGAATTATTAATATTTACGGCAAGAAATCAAATTGTTATTTTGGAAACAAATACTCAGAACAATCCATTAATTTCGAATATTTTGTTAATATAATGTTGGATATAAAGCCCAAAAAATCTCAATCAACCACCCAACATATATCATCATGAGTTTGATGTCAAAATTAGTGTCTAAAATACACAACAATAATAATATTTTCTCTTACAATATTCATTTGTATTAAAATTATAAATTCCTAGTAAAAAATTAATCATATAAGTATCAATTAAAAGCCATACAATATACATACTTGAATATAATAATGAATGACGTTAATTAATCTGCATAGATTTCCCGTTAATTCATCACAGCTCCTAATTAGGATATCGGTCGTTTTCAGTCCAATTTAGCAAAAAAGATTAGAATGTGAGAAAACTATTATTCATTCAAGAAATTAAAACGAACTGACGGAAAAATAATAATAATAATAATAATTTACACACTCACAAGTCACAAATTGAAGAGAACATAAATAAATAAATAAAAAGATTGAGAGGGTAACATATATATATACACGTGGGGCGGAAGGCGGCGGCGGCGGCGGAGTGAGGTGGCCGAGCGGAAGAGTGAGGTTGTGGAGGCTCTCACGCCTGGACCTACGCATCCTGCGGCCCCTCTGCACGTTGAATCCGGGCCCCGAGAACAGGTCGTCCGGTGGCTGGCGCCGGCTGCTCCTCCGCCTCCCAATGCGGCTGATCATGAAATCATTTCCATCGCTGCTGCTGCTGCTGTAGTAGTGAACACCCTCATCATCATCCATTTGTCTTATTTTTTTTCCTTTTGTTATAATGGATTTGAGTTGTGTGATTAATTTGGTCTCGGGAGAAGAGAAAGAAAGAAAGTGAGGAAGAGAGAGAAAGGATGGCATAGGCGAGTGTGGGAGGTGGTGGTGGTGGAGTGGAGGACGAGACGACCATTATATATACATACATACAAATTACTCCCTATATACTAGTATATATAGCTTAATACTACTACTGCTACTACTTATATTATAGTAGTAGTATTTAGCAAGCCAAAAAAAAAAAAAAAA